GTAGAGAGGTGGGTGTTGGCCTCTTCTTCCAAGGGAATAATGACAGGACCAGAGGAAATGGTCTAAAGTTGCGCCAGGGGAGGTTTAGATTCCTAATATCTATTAGGAAGAATTACTTTGCTGAGAGAGTGGTTAGGCATTGGAACAGCCTGCCCAGGGAGGTGGTGGAGTCACCGTCCCTGGAGGTATTTAAGAAACGTGTAGACATGGCTCTTCAGGGCATGCTCTAGTGCCCAAGATTATTGGTTTGTGGGTGGGTGTGATGTGGTGGGGTGTTGTGCTTTTTGTTTTGTTGGTTTTGTTTTGTTGGGGGTTTTTTTTGTTGGTTTTTTTTTTTTGAGGTTGGACTCGATGATCTCAGAGGTCCCTTCCAACCATGGTGATTCTGTGATTCTGTGAAAGCAGCAGGATGGCACTAACAGCTCTTGCCAGATGTCTCCTGACTCTGCTCCTGCCTCTGACTCCCCCAGCAGAGATTACCTTATGGGAGCACGGCTTGTACATGCTCCCTTGAACTGATGGTCCCTGCTCTCCCCTTTGTCTGGAGAAGGACCAACAGAGCCTGGGGAAGAGGCGTTTGGTAACCAGAGCAGAGAGACTACATTAGCTCTACCTTTACAGTGCAAAAATATCTCTGTTTTAGGATGGTTGGACAGAATTTGGCCCATGGGAATTATAGCCTAGACAGGTTAAGTGAGAGCTGTGCACATTAAATGCAGACTTTGAGGTAGGCCATTGCATCTCTCCTAAAATGATGTTACCCTACGGTCAGATTTTGTTTGTTTTTAATACTCTATAAATTTACTACAGGGGCTTTGATGCATGTTTTTCAGCTTGAAAGCGTAACTGTCTTCCTTCGTCCACCACTTTACAATTTTAATGCTTTTAGCAGGCAGCTCCAAGACTCAAAAAATGGGCTCAGACAGCTGACAAGCAGACAGCAGACAGCTAACAAGAATATCCGGAGCTGTGATAGGAAAGATTTAAAAGAACACCCAAGAGTCCAGAAGGGGACAGAAAACCTTTTGGGAAGGGCATACACTGGTCTCTGACTGGGGACAGGAGCAAAGCTCCACCATGGTAGGTTCTTCTTCAAGGGCCCAGTGGTGTTTATGTACCTGCAGAGGAAGAGTCTGGTATCAAATCAGTGTCAGAGAGAGGTTGCTGGTCTTGGTGAGTACCACTGATAGGAGGTTACATCTCTCCCAAACTAGCTGAGCCTTTTCTTGCACCATCTTTGAGTTTGCATAAAGTCTTTAAGAAATTACTTCTGGGTTATAGCAGCGGGGATGAGGGAAGAGTCCTTTTGCATGTCCAACAGAACTTTCTGCTGCCTGCACTTATTCTGGGTTTTGCTTGTTTGCTTGTCTTTAAAATTTTACTGTGCTTTTGATCTGAGCCCAAGAATTGAAACCATCACTGGGAATGTGCTGCTAAGAGAGAATTATGAAACAAAATGCAACCGCAACACTTTAAATGTTGATTTAAGTGGTGTCTAGACCTCATGCTGGCTTTCTGCACCGAGATGAATTTCATAAAGAGAATACCCCGCCTCCCCTTCCCAGATTTTATATTTAAAGTCAATTCCCAGTACTCTCACTCAACTCTGGTCCTTCTGTATAAAGAGGAATAATAGGGCTTCTGCTTTGTTATTTTTATTTGCCATTTGAAAAAGGCTTGTATTTAATGGAAGTGGAGGGAACACTAAAAAGGAAGCACAAACATGTATAGGGCTTTTGAGTTATTAGGTTAATTAAAAAAAGCCACAAAATGGTAGCAGTGGAAAAGGCAAAAGTCAAAGCATCGATCTTTGCATATTCCATGGCATTGATGTTGGGTCTGAAGAAAGATTTCCTGACCCTCAAAGACACTGGCTTATGCTTTTGTGGGCACGGTGCTGATGGCTGATGCAGGCGAGTATTTCTAGAATTACTGGTTTTATTGAAGTTGAATAGTAGATGTTTTTGTTTTTCTTTTACCTTAGGAATTTTCTCTCTTCACTCACAGCTGTGGTGATTTATTTCTTCTGGTGTTAATAACTAGATCTGCAGTTAGTGTATCTAACACTGTAATAATACACACACACACCAGACACACAGATATTCTTCTTTCATGTTGGAGGATGGAGAAAAGTTATCAGCCAGGAAGGGCTTGAAATGATTTCCAGGTTCAGGATTCAAGGCTGTGCATAGTGGCAGAAAAATATCCATGGGAAATATTTTTTCAGTGGAAATTCACATTTTAGGGGAAAAAAAAAAAAGGACAAATTAATGTTTCTGGTGTTTATTTTGGCAACCAAAACTGTTCAAGTGTTGTACAGTACAATACTTGTTAGTAATTCCAAATAAATCATTGAGGCTATAACCTTTTAGGTTATTATTTTCCTTGTTTTATACTAGACATTACAGCCAAAGTGAGGCACCTCTTGTGCCTGTAGATGTTCGTTAACATAGGAAAAAATACTGAGCCAGAAGAGTATATTGTCTAAACAGACAGCACATAGTGAAAGAAATGAATTTACTACCCACACTCTTCAGGTGGGAATGAAGGAATATTTAGAGTAAATTATTTGTTCAAAGTGGTACAGACAGCTATGCAGAAACCCCTTAGTCCACCACAGTTCTGATCCAGTACTTAAGACATTTGTTTTCATCTATTTATTCTCAATTTCAAATGATTTGATGGTTCTTCCCTAATTTTTTCCCCATATGTATTGTTTGAAGACACCTAGACTGGCACAGAGAAGTACTTTATGTCTGATGAGCAAGCCATCATCACTAAGATGGGCTTGGAGATGTAGGGAATGGGTCCATTTCCAAAAAACAACATCTGCAGCCAAATGCTGCACCATCTTTGAAGCCTTTTGCCATGCACAGCAATATACTTCATGCATTCCCATGCCCTGAAAGGGTTTGCCATATCCAGATGGACAAGGAAAGCAAGATTGTATATGTGGGCTCACAACTTTTACGAATCAAAATGGCTCCAAAGCTTGGAGCTCTCTACTGACAAGACATTTCCACATATAGGAAGGAGGAAGAAGGATTTTCACTTGTTTAAACTTTAGTTCATCTTCTAAATCAACAGAAGTTGCAAGCAGGTTTGCCTTTCCATAGGGTCTGACATGAGGACTTCTTTGCCACAGAGGATCCACAGGACATTCTCACTGGTCAAAATTCTCCTGGGAACAAAGAGATGCCAGCAACCTTGTTGCTTGTGTCTTATTCTGTAGATTTATGTGGCACAAAAAGACCTGAGCATTGTGCTAGTTCTCTGCCCATGGCAAGATTTCACTCAGCAGCTTGAGAAGGTCAGTTAAGTGTTAAATAGCTCCCAGAATAACAGGGTAAGATGACTATGTGCCATGTAACATTTTTTACATATCATGAGTTGTGCACAAGGGCATATCTAAATAAAATGCATAGGAAATAGCATCACGCAAATATGATCTACATTTTTTCTTGATCAAAGAGGCTGAGGGAAAAAAATAATTAAAAAGTAAAAGCCTTATGCAATGAGATTTAAAAGAAAACTTTGGAGGCTGACAAGACGCATCTGGCACAACTTCAAAGTCCATCAAAGTACATATAATCAATGTTTGTCAATAGCAGTTTTGCATCCTTTAATTTATCTTTCATGGATATAAAGCATGATGTTATTAGGATCCAGTCCATACCTTAATTCTGTTTGAGATTTGATGAATCAGGGCTCTATTAAAATTCAGTGCAAATCAGCTTACTCAAGGACACATTACATAAAGTTGTGCGTTATCTAACTCCTTTTATCTTGCTGTCTTTCTAACTAGTTAAAGAATCTGGAATCTCTTAAACTTATATGTGTGGCCACCAACATACTAAATCTCAAACACGTTTTGCTTGTAGGCACCTGCTTAAATTATGCACATGTGGCATAATTAGCATACCTAAATTCTTTGTGTGTTTTTTGATGTATAAAATCTCCTTTAGGATGTTCAGGCTCCAAAAGTGAGGAATCATCAGAAATAAGGTTCCCTGACATCCAAATTTCAGCACTTGTCACAAAGTCTCTTATCAAGTGCTCACATCTTATATTTTTTCACGAGAAAATCCCATTCAGGATGGGAAATGATGAGGCCCTTGTGATTTTACTTCCTTGTGATTTTCTTCCTCATATGTCAACATTTGGACACCCCACACATCCATTTTATTTACTGTACACTATTCAGGTCCTCCTGAGCAGACAACCATATTCATTTTCCTCCTGGTGTTGTGTAATGTGCTCAGCGTTACCCTATTTAACAGTTTTATAACCATAGAGAAACCATATTGCTGGGGACTTCCTTCAAATTTGGGTTGTGGTGTGAAAACACTGTATTTCCATCACCCTGCTCCTCCTTCCTACTCAATCTCTAAACTATCTGGGAGAAAGAACATGTCTTTTCACTTGTTTTCATATTACGTAGCACAAACAAGATGTAATCAGTAAATGTTTGTCAGCATTTCTGCAACAGAGGGTTGTTTATTCTAGCAATAATATTATGATTTCGTCTGTTACAAATGCTTCAGCTTCTGGAGACTGGGGTTACTCAAAAATTTCGATTTTTATGAAAAAAAAAAATTCCAGGTTCTCACATTTATGGACAAACACTTAAGAACATGAACCTTGATGTCTGAAATTTAGAAAATAATAGAAAGCACACTTTCATGTTTTTAAAATCTTATATTTTGTAACTAGATCTCATTATTTTTTTCAGTGGAAGGGAGAGAAGTAAGTCTGATTCTTTTTTTTTTTTTAATTGACAATAATAGTCAAACAATAATTCTAATACAAGGAAAATCCTTTGTTTCATTGTTAATTTATACTATTCCCATCTTTGATACTTACTGATTTGAAACATTTACCAGCAGTCAATGTAGAGATTATCTGGACAGAATACACTTGTTTGATCAGGGCAATCTGTTGAACATTAAACAATATTTGAAGCACAGTTAATTATTTGCACTGAATTAGCTCACCCTCGAATGATTGTGGCTCATCTGAAAAAAACGTAGGCAAGAAGAAAAAGCTAATTTCAAGAAAAAAAGAGTGTAAGGATGGTTAACAGTGCTTCGACCCTTCAGGTTCTTCCTCTGCTCATTCTCCTAGGGAACACATATTTGTGCGTGAGTATGTTTTTATGTATTACTTTTCTTCCCTGTGCCAGCCCTGCTCCTTGCTAAGCCCTTCCTGGGCAGCCAGAGCATTTAGCTGAATATTGGACAGTGAGGTTCCCGAGTAAAAACTGCATAAGAGGGAAGCCTCATGGTTTTTTGGAGAAGATATCTCCAGTGACAAGGAATGGTCCATCTGGGTGGGTTTGGTGGCCACCCAGCTCCCAGCGATGTGCGGTGGGGAGCGCAGTCGCTCCCCCAACCCTGGGTGCTGTGTAATGCTGAAGGCACTAGATATCAAGATTAAACAGGTCAGGGATATGCACTGCTTGGTGGTTTTGCAAGCTTTTTCGTCAAAGGTAAAATTTCCCCAGCCATGTGTTTTGGATGGATGAATTATCATTGCTACCTACATGGAAGGAAGGTTAAGAGCAAAATATTCAATACATCTAGAGAAGGCCAGAGCCCTGCTCCAGCAGAGCTTGATATACCTTCCTAAATCTCAGAGGAGACCTCATCACTCTCTACAACTACCTGAAAGGAGGTTGTAGACAGGTGAGGGTCTGTCTCTTCTCCCAAGTAACAAGCGATAAGACAAGAGGAAATGGCCTCAAGTTACAGCAGGGGAGGTTTAGATTGGATATTAGGAGAAATTTCTTCACCAAAAGAGTTGTCACACATTGGAACAGGCTGCCCAGGGAAGTGGTGGAAATGCCATCCCTGGAGGTATTTAAAAGATGGGTAGTCGTGGTGCTTAGGGACATGGTGTAGTGGTAGAATTGGAGGTGTTAGGTTGATGGTTGGACTTGATTACCTCAAAGGTCCCTTCCAACCTAGACGATTCTATGATTTTATCTCTTCTTTAAAGAAGACTGAAAGAATAACTTGTAAACAAAGAAAAGTTAAAAGTCAGTTTTTAAAAACATTTCTTTTGTTCCTCCAAGCACTGCAATCGAGTATGAAGGAATTTGAGGTTCTTTCAAACCTCTGCTTTCTTGTGTGTGTTTCTCTTGTTTCTCTTCTTTTTGTGCGTGCAGGTTCATGTTTTCTGAAATGAATTGCTAAATTTCAGATGTTGACATCTTTAAATTGAGTCCTTTGGGAAAAATATATAGTAAGGGGTTGTAATAAGCTATAGATCTTGTTGAAGAGCTCCGTGAACTTACAATCAGGGTTTTTCACAACACAATGGGGTATTTATTAATTAGTGTATCATCAGGACTGTCTGTCTGCTGCCAGCAGTGGATGTGACATACTTGATCCACTGGCACACTTGGCAGCTTACTGGGGGGATCAGTTCTAGGGTAGGTCAATGCCAGTTTTACAGACATTGTGGGAACCCAGTCTAATGCAAATAAGCTCATAATGAATCAGTTGTGTTAATTCACCCTCATTGAGGAAGCTGTAGGTGCAGTCTTAGACAACATGAAGTCTTGCACAGACTTTTCCTAGCTAGTCCTAAGTGTTAGATTGATTCATTAGCTTTGACAATCCTAATCTGAGTTTGTTCTAAATATTGCTGTGGAAAATGTAGTGTATACCTCCCCCCGCCCCCAAAAATTCATTAACATTGCTAAAATGCAAAAGCAATTCTGCTGTCAATGAAAAGCAGCACGACAGAATATTCAGCAGGCTAGTTTTTAATAAAACATGTTTTTTCTTCATAATTAATATAACAAGGTTTTCTGGCTTAGCGCTTGGCATGGATCCCAGGAAAAAAAAAAAAAAAGAGGGGAATGAGTCACTGTGACGTGACCATTGCATGACAAACATGTTATGAGAGGACATTTTAGCCTTAATGATTTGTTCCAAAGAAAAAGTTACACTGAAACTGTTTGAATGAAAAAAGAACAGACTTTGCGCTTCTCTGAAACTGTGGCAAACACCCTGAAATTTCAGTTTTCATACTTTCCCAGAACTATCTACATCATTCTCGTTTTTATTCAAATCTGGTTTTACGAGTTTTCATAAGTAACACTCTGATTAATAAACGTTATTGGTGAAATATAGCAGAAGTCAAATGGAGTTTTAGGCAGTAGCTCATATCTTGGGTCAGTCAAAGTGGGACAGGAAAGCATTCAGACATTCATGGATCTGGTGTGTTTGGAGCAGGACCTTAAGGCAAAAATTTCCATTCTGGTCTTTCATATTACTTGAAAAGAAACTGATTTCACCTTCATGAACTCAAACTATTTCCATAAAAGGCAGTAAGCTGTATGGTGGCTGCAAGTGAGAACAAAATTTGGTCCTTTATTTTAGCATATGTAAGTGCTAAAGCTTGTCTTCAGACATAACAGGTCTTCTCAGGTTGGGTTTTCTGCTGTTTTTTTTTTGTTTTAGTTACAGTAGATCCCCACTAATACACACATCAGCGTTGTATGAAGAGGAACTTTTAGAGAAATCAGTATGCTTTTGCCCAGCAAGATACTGTAGTAGAAATGTGCCTGCCCTAAGGTGTTGTATTGTTAAATATTCCTTATTTTGCCAAAAAGAAATCCAAAGGGCTCTGCTGCAGCAGGTTGTATCAACATTCAGACACAGCAGTTCAGCTGCCTGTGCTCCCTGACTTGGGCTTGTACTGAAGCAACTTTTTTGAAATGCACATAGATTTAAATAGGATGCTTAAACGTTGTTCTGAATCAAGCTAGAAAAATACGCAACAGAATGAGACCAATTCAGGTCCAAAAACACTCTAGTGATGGAGCTGGTCATACACCAGGTTGGAGCTTCCATTTAACAATGCTCTAAAGTGCTTCAGCATACGCTTGCAAAAAAATTTTTAAAAGTGATTTTTCAATCAACAGATGTTCAGATTAGGCTCTTTTGTTGCATCATTGCTCCCTCCAAACCCAACACCCCCGGCAGCAGAGAGGAAGAAATGCAGGAGTCAGAGCAGCAGAGGTGGCTCTTCAGTGAGTATTTTTGGAACTTCAAGAAATTGGTGTGCTTGGTTGTGACGGCAAGGGTTTTGAAGTCACTAGCCATGCCCAGTCCAATAACCAAGCGCACTTAGTAGCGGAAAGAGAAGGATTAAAGCATCCCATTAAGATCAAACAACTGCATAGAAAAGTTATCACTGGTGCCTGTCTCCTAGCTGGCCCGCAGCAGATATGAAGCTGTTACCAGCAGTACAGGTCTTTCCTTGCCTCAGGTGCTTGGAGACCGATGTTTTAGGGTGTCTTAAAGTCAACTCTGTCTGACATCTTTTTCTACCCACCAACGGATCTATTCCTGTAGTGAACTCCCACTTCTGCTGCGCCGCTCACGCGAGGGCTTTATGCTCTGCTGTATCACCAACCCATCACGGCGAAGAGCGGTGAATCCTGTCAAGCCCCTCTCAATTTGTGGCCCATCAGGTGTAATGCCCTTCCGCAGCGCTCGCCTAAATTTGCCTGATGCAGCAGGAAAGCAGCAAAGCCCTGGGAGCGCCCCCAGCTAATTGTGCAGGGGGGGCTGGCGGGGAGGGAAGCAGTTCCTGGCCGACCCCCGAAGGCAATCAGCTCATGCCCTGAAGCGTGCAGGTTGATATCCCGCCTAACTAAAGGGACTTAATGACTTTGCATAAGCTTTAAGTCTAGCGGTATAACCCGCATTCCCAGCTGCAAAAGCGTTTGATGGCCCGGCGCGGTGGCGTTCCTGCCACCAGGCTGTGGCTCCCGCTGCCCCCATGAAACAGATTTTGTAGCTTCCCCTTGCTGAGGCATCCAAGGCTTGACCCCGTTTTCCACCTGGGAGCACAAGCACACCCTCATCCACCAGCCAGCCACTTTAAAAACAGCCAGCTGCTGCCAGGCCGTCTCTCACGGTGCAAAGATTAATTTAGAAACTTTGATCTCTTGGAAAACAGGAGCAGGTAACTCCTGCGCAGAGAACCAAGCTGGTTTCAGCAGCACCTCCGAGGGCTCTTGCTTTTTTCTTGGATCCCTGTGGTTTTTGTATCAGGTGCTACCATGGGAAAGGTTCACAAGTAAATAATCAGCAAAATAAAGACTTTAAATGTAAAGTTCTCTGGGTACCCTGGAACCAGTCAATAAGGAACATGTCATTTGCTCTGAGGCACACATTGCAGTTCAGCGTGGAGGCAGGAGATGTCTTGCTAGCAGAGAGGTGAAGAACTCGGAGGTTTTGGTGGAATCTTTTCAGAGAATGGTTTCCCAGGCTAAAAATACAACATGTGTTGCATGTGTGCTCCAGATGATAATATGCTCTGCTTTCATTATACTGCAGCCATGGCCTTGGCTGAGAAATACAATGTCATTGCTGGAAAAGCCACTTTCCCTTGAAGTTCAAAGACTGTCACTACCCAAGATGGTTGCAGGCAAAAATCTGGCCGATTGTAAGAGCATCAGAACTGTCGATTCCCTCCTCCTTTGGCGAGAAGCCCAGACAAAGGTTCCCACTGAGAGCTGTCAGCAGGATCAAGGGGTTCACTACGAAAAGGCAGTAGTTGTGTCTGCCCTCATGGCTCCTTCATGCCTTATGTCAGCCGTGGATGGAAGTTGATCAAATATCCATCCTCGTTCTCCAGTTCATCCCCATCCCACCTCCTTCTCGGTTGCAAAGCTGTGACTGCACAGAAGAACAAATGAAAGGGTTGATATTTGTTTTGCTGCCGTAGAGGCTACTTCATGGCAAGTTGCAGGAGAAATTGCACAACTTTGTGCAATTAAGTGAATGGGCCAGTTCCTACCAATGCACTTTAATGTTTGAAGTCTCATAGAGCTTCGTTGCAAGGTGTGTGTATGTGTAGCGGGCAATTTTCATCCCCGTGTTCCTCTGTCAAGCCAGCTTGAGCAGCTACACTGTTTTCTCTGGAATTACTTGTTTTGCACACATGTAAATTCACAGCCTAACCCTGGGTTGTCGCCTTTGTGCTGCCTGTTTCTCCACCTGCTTTTGTGTTTTAATTATTCATTTTGATTGTAATGAGGGGTAGCAAATGTACCCAAGACATAATCAACAGTTCAGCTGCAGAATGCCCTTGGCAGATGTAAATAATTTCCCTAGAATTTGGGGTCAAATTTTCCTGGCTTTATTCAGAAAGAATCATCAGAGATTAACTGGACATTTTTGTCTGAGGAAGAGCTGTAGGACTCTGTCCTGAGACCAAGAAAGCTCACGGTTCTGGCATGACTGTTTGAAATCTATTACATTTCATTAGTTTCTCTTTCTTGAGGAGTTGAAATGGAAAAATTGAGAGTATCATCTATCTGCAGTGTTTAACCTTGGTACAAAGCCTAATTAGCAAAGTTTTGATGGCTCTTTGGAGAAACGAAGCTTTAGTGAAGTGCTAATCATTACAATGATGACGACAACAAAGGTCAGGTGAAATTAGGATATTTTGAATTTCAGCCATTCTTCCACCATTTTTTCTAGGAGCCCTATAAATGCAATATAAAATGTCTCTCCTAGATATTTTTTTTTTTGCAGTGTTTCTTTTTTATGAGCCTAAAGTAATAACATTCAAAATTGCTCTCCGCAAATTCTTCTAGCTTCGTCCCCTGTCTCTGCGGACCTGCAACGAGCAGGATCCAGCGATTTTATTCCCTCTTGAGAGAGCACACAAAGTGTCGGTGTCGGGCTGCAGCAAGGAGACTGTTTGGTGAAACCAGCCCCACAGTCTAATTTCTTCTTTCCTCCCCCCCTCCATCCTCCTCCTTTTGTTCGAATCCTGCGCCTGGCTGGGCTCAGTATTGCACCTCGTTGGAAGGACAAGATCCTCCTCTGCTGGCCATGAGCAATACGGCACGGCAGGCAGGAGACCCTGCCTTCACTGCCCCTGCCTGCACCCCCTCCTGCAGCCCCTTCACCTCCAGCCCCCTCCTGGACCCCCCACTCTGTGCCCCACCTTCTGCATCCCACTTCCCGCATCCCATGTCCATTATCCCACATCCCACCTCCTGGAGGCCCTCAAGGTAGGGAGGAAAGGATGGGGTCCCACATCCTCCATCCTGCATCCCACCTCCTGCAGCCCCTCATGGCATGGAAGGAAAGGACAAGCTCATGCGGGCAAAAGGGGCTTGAAGGTATCACACCCCCATGGAAAGCTTCCTGCAGGGAGCCAAAAAAGGTTAAAATTTGTCCCTGTGCTGGCTGGCAGGGGTGAAAAAGCTTCAAGACCAATGTGGGCTGGTGGGTGGTCCAGTGGATGTCGGAGTGGTCCAGTGGATGTCGGAGTGGAGAAGGAAAGTCCCCATGCCAAGAGGTCAGCTCTGCCTGGGGTTTTGTCCCCTGTGGCTCTGCTGTTGCAGCTTGTGACAGGCACACAAGGGGTAAAAGCCCCAGGACAAAAGAGGACACCGGAGCCTTGCGATAAAGATTGGGTTTAACTCTTGGACTCTCCGTGCTGGGTGCTCCAGGAGATTTTGTTCCCAGTAAGTATTGTACTCTGGCAGCAGATACAGGCTTTCATCCAAAAGCGGGGATCAAAATTTGGGACTTGGCCACCCTGGGGTACAAGCCATGATCTGCAGAATGTTACTGGAAACCTGCACATTTTCTGGGGCACCAGCTTATTGTAAGAGGGAGCTCAGGGCACGTGCCCTTCTGCAGCCAGCTCTGCCCATGGAGCAGCACCTGGGAGGGTTGGGCAACCTGGAAAAGAAAGCAATGTAGTAAAGTGCTAGGTCTTTCATCTTTCTTCTTTTCTTGGTGTGCGAGCCACCCCTTTGGGCGTTGTGAGACTGTCAGCTCTGCTCCACAGCCAGGGGAAACTGAGGCACGGAAGAGTAGGGAGCAGTCATGTCCTGCACCTCCCTCAGCCCAGGATGAAACCCCATGGCATTCCCCTGTGGTGCCAAGGGCTGCCCTGAGTGCGGGGAAGGTTCAAGTCAAACCCTTCTGCCCCCAAACTCAAACAGCAAAATGGGGCACGGCAGAGAGCCGGGGAGGGAGCTGGAACATTCCTTGCTTCATCCTGCTCCTGTTGCTGCTCCCTTGTTCTTTGTTTCATCTGTTCCTCCAAAAGAAAGGAGCACACCGGCAGGGTTTGTTTTGGTCTGTGTTTATGGCTGAATGCTACCACTAATTGTAAGTGGAGCAATTAGACCTTTTCCTTCTACAGTCTCCGTTGGGGTCTGGCAAAGGATCTGACGAACCCTGTACCTGCACTGGGGAAACATCTACACCCAGGGCAGAGCTTTTACAGCCCTCTCCTTTACCAGCATCTCTGCTCTCATTCAGGAGGGGCAACCACAGGAGTGTGTGAGTGTGTGTGTGTGAGTGAGTGTGTGTGTGTGTCCTCCCAGCTGCAGAGGATTTAGTGCTGTGTGTGTGGCTCACTGACGTGCACCTGGGCAGGGGCTCCGCTGAGCGGTTCAGGGGACACGGCTCTCATTAAAGTCGGTGGGAAGGGAAGGGGAGCTCTGGAGTGTCTGTTTTCCCTGGCTCAAACACAAGAGGGACGCAAGCCTGCCTGAAGCAAAAACTCATTTATATATTCCAGATAATATTCGCAAATGCGAATTCCGAGCTTTTTTCTTTTTTTTGTCCTGTTTCTTATTCATTGCTTCTGATTCATTCGTTCTTAGTCGCAGTGTTAGCTGAGAATCTCTCTTCCCTATACCATTTCTATATATATTGTGCAACTAAAGAGGGTGTATATTTCCAGTTAATTGTGTCTGTAGCAACGCACAGGTGCACACAATCATATGTGAGAGTGTGTGTGTATGTATACTGCCTTGATTAGGAGTGTTAAATTGTTTGGAAATACGTTTCCTTCTGACAAATCATGTGAGGGATGAAGAATAGCAGCTCTAAATCTCCTTCTTTACACCCGCTGTTAGCACACGTATCCTCGTCACAGGCAGGTAATCCCGGGATTTAGAGCAAGAGGGAAAGCGAGCTGAAATCTTCATCCCGGTGTGGAGTCAGTGCGTCTCCTTTCAGACCAGCCTCACTCACCCTCTTCAGAGGCTGAGAGCTGTTTTCCTTCTTCTTCTGTTCCCTTTTGTCACTTGCCCTTGATCGTGAGCCAGAGAGGAAAGGCTGGAGCTCCACGTTGGAGGTCAGACACACGGCATTTCCTCACGGGAAGAGCTAGAATTGTTCTCCTCTATCCAAAGGTTGTTGACAGCCTCCCAGCTGGGAGGTCCAGATCCCACTGGCTGGACCATGCAGAGGGTCCTGGGCTGGGCTGTGCTGCCCAACCTCCTCTGTGCCCTGCCGGAGCACATCCCAGCCTCCAGCTTTGGCTCCTGCCCCTATCTCACAGAAATTAGGCAAATAGCTAGTCCATGGTCACTTAATAAGCAAAGACACAATTTAACTCATTCAGGACAGGTTTTTCCCAAAGGACACCAGCCCCACGGCTTGGGCTGGATGCTCAGAAAAACCAGAGCTCCCACAGGGGTTGTTGGGAGCAAAGGACGTTTTAAGGCATTTTGTTAATCTTTTAAAAGAACTCTTAAAATCCAGCCCAGAGCTAATAGCTCTGAAGTGGGTAACGAGCTGATCTGGATGTCCAGTACTGGGGGCAAATGGAAACTTTGTGCAGTAAACTGGCTTTTGTTTTTCCAGAAACTGACTCTCTGCCCTTTTCTATCTCCTGCAGGCTTCCCATTTCTTCTTCCTGGCTGACCTGCTGCATGGTAAGTGGTTTCCATTTCTTCATTTTAACTTCTGCATACCAAACTGAGAGGCTGGCGACCTCCAGTCCATCAAAAGCCTTTGCTAGTGCCCAGAACTGAGTTTTATTAACTTCATGCATGGCTTTGCTGAGCTTGGAATAAGGCTTGTGATCAAGTAGAAAGTCTGTTTGATTTTGGACAAGTGATATGGTGAGCACTTTCAGATGTCCACATGTGCTCTGTGTCAGTGCAGGAGACAACACTGCATCAGGTCCCAGCCAGGAGGGTCTCTGGCAGGCTGGAGCCCAAACCAGAGGTAGAGCAGCAACACCATTTTGCAGCTGATTATGGGGTACTCCTAGACCACACCTCAACTCACAACTCTCTTCTAACCCAGGACTTTTTGGCCACTCTGTGGCCTCACGTGCTCAGCACAGCTTTGGGGACCCATGGGTGACACAGTGGGTCATGGGCTGGAGGAGAAGTCATTGTGCTGGGCTGCAAACCTCACAGGAGGATAAGGAAAAAGTCTATCTGTGTGCACAAATTGGAAGTCCAATAAATGAAGGGTAACTTTCCCTTGCAGCATACAACTAACTGGAATTTATTTCTACAAGGTTTTCTCCAAAGTGCAAGAACGTTCAAAAAGTGTTTGCAAGCCCATGCAAGTAAAAATCGTTGAAAGTTATGTAGCATTAAGATGTTGATAAGAGAAAAGCTGTGATGCATGTTGTGTGAGGATCTGTAAATATTGTATAAGGATTTTTACATCCTTTTGCAGCCTCCTTAGTCCACACAGAGGATTATGGTTTTATTGCTAAATTTAGTAGTTTAGGTTAAGACCTGGTCCTCCTTTTCTTGATTTCGGTGGCTCTTAGATCTCAGTTTATAATTTATAGCTAATAAGGTATTAAATTAATTTTGCTCCTGAAAAAGAAAAAAAAAAAGAAAAAAAGACTTTTACTCTGCATTCATTATTTAGCCACATTCCTGTTCATTCCAGTGGCGTTCTGGCTTCCAGTTCAAACCCGTGAGTCCAGCAGCCTTGTAGCTCATACAGCCCTGCTTCTTTCCCCAAATCAATGTTGCTCTTCTAACACGATGCGTGCAGAAAACAGATTCCCAAATCATCCGTGCATCTGAGCTCAGCATTTAGCTTCTGCAATTACTTGACCACCACAGAGCCGTGTACCTGGCTTCAGGCTTTAGGCACCAGCCTTGCAGCGGTGGAGCTTTCACAGTTTAATTCATTCCCCCTCCCTAAGCTTTATGGTCCCTTCCTCTGCCCCTCCGCTGTCCCTGCAGTCTCCTGCTCCCCATCCTGCAAGTCCCCCCTCCCTCAGCCGTCATCGGCGCCCATCCCTCTAAGGAAAAGGCACAGCAAAACTTCTTTTAAGTAGCAGCCACAAAGCCATCTGAAAGGCTCACTGCTCTCCCTTCTTTTGCAATTTCTTTCTGAAGCCGCAGATACTCCCAGCCACAGCCCGCATGGAAAGGAGGAAATACCATGAGGTCTCGTCTCTGCAGAATTAAATGGAGGACAACTCGTTATTTAAAATACAGTCAGGATTTCAGCCTCATAAAAATAACACTACATTATTCTCAGGGCTGGAGACAAAAAGTATTTAGAAAGGTGGCAGGAAAACTCATCCTGCTTAAATTAGGCCAGATTTCAGTCGATCCCCAGAGGTTCAGAGAGCTTGAATAAATGCTGGGTACTTTCTGGCGCTCTCGATGTGTGTTGGCAATAGGGTTTAACTTTGTACATCACTCATCTTGACAACTGCAGTCCAACAAAGTTACCTCGCAATTCAGGTCACTCGCTGGCATCCTAATGCATCACTTTCCCACTCGGAACATTAGTCATGACTTGATCCAGAGAAGGTTTTGAAAACAGTGTGACTGCCGGTGTTGGGATATCTGTTCTCTCCGTAACAGAGAGCCCGTGTAAGCTAATGAACAAGGGGATATTGATCAGAAATCCATCGCTTGATTGACAGCTCTTGGCAATGTGAAAAACTGCAGATGAAAGCTTGAGCAGTTTAAAAGATCACCCAGACCTCAAAGCTGATTTGAAGCTTTAAAAGTCAATCTCTGCCTATCAATTATGGGGGGATTTTTTTGTACTACACAGAGGAAAGTTATTCTTTGAAAATTTGCATGCAGGATGTCTAATTTAATTTCATGTAATAGTCACATTTCAGTGACAAATGTCAGATCACTGCTTTTTTTAAGCATGTTAAGGTTTTCCAGCACTTACAAAGAATGAACACTCTGATTTAGTAATATGTTTAAATCAACCAGTGTATCAGACTTTGTGCGTTAATTATGTGCTCAGATAAAAAAAGTGTTGTTTTTGCTTTACTAAACCTATGGCTTGTTATGAATAATTAAAAAAATGGAATGGGAGCACTTCTTAAATAAGAGATGTGGAAGCCAAATAGTTATTTAGTGTCGAAGCAATGATAAATAAGAAGACATCTCTTAGTTGGATGTCATGTACCCAAGTCAGGGTTTTCTATTCTTTGTTTTTCACTGCTTCATGTGGCTGGAGAGGACACAGAGCTGCTGGGAGATGGGAAGCATCACTCATGTGACCTGTAGAAGATATTTCCCTTCCATAGTTTCATAAAGAGGGATGGTGGTGGAGAAAGGAGGGGCACTGGTGATTTCTCAGGTCAGCTGCACTCCCATGTCATCTTGGCTGGTCTCCTGGCCAGGCAGCTCAGCTTCCTGACTCCCACTGTTCATATGGGGGGCCAGGGTACCCAAAAGGGTTTGCTGATGTTTTCTGAGTCCTTTCCACATGCGTGCTTAACTCCACAGCTTGGTCATGAAGTTTTACTTAATGGTAATTGCCAGCCCATGAGGGGGTTGCTTGCTGCCACCCAACTGACCTCAGCCTTGGCCACCCAAAAAGTGCCCTCCTCGAGTGCTGCTGGGTGCCAGCCTGGCCTCAGGTGTGCATTAGCCTGTCCCAAAACTGCCCAGGGATCATCTGCCCCCTCAGGAAAAACGGGGGTTTGTGCTCCTTTGCCTCACAGAGCTGCCAGAAGCAGATGTCCTGCAAAACATGAATTGCAGCTTGGCCAGCTTGGGTTTTACCACAGAGATATGCTTAGAATAGCCCATAATGGGTCAACAAATAATTTTCTAACCATTGTTGATAAACAATTAATCCATTGCTAAGAAGTGATGCCAATGTAACAAGATGAAGTGACAGTATTGTCATTTCTTAACACCAGACTTACACTGAGCAGTTGGTTTAAAAATCATGGTAAGTGCTACAACGATGTAGTTGTGCTCATTCAGAGCACTTGTTTTTCCTCTGTCGACTCAAGACAGTCCCCACCAGCCTTTGTAAAGCACGCTGGGTGTGCTTACAGTCTGCTTTTGGCAGCCCTAACTCCCCTCTTCATCCTTCATAACTTTAAACAGGTATATCTTTTCTATCCAAAGGGCTACCCCATCCCCGAGAATACTTCTATAAAGCATCTGTGGAATAAAAGCCAACATTCCCCACCAAGGTTTTGAAAATAAACAGGGGAAACAAAATCAGACTCCTTCAGACAATTCCCTCAAACTCAGGTCCATTTGCAAAAATCTCCCCTCCGACAAAGTGAGCTTGCAGGCTGCATTTCAGGCGAAACCCTCTTTTTTGTTTTCCTTTCTTAACTATATCACATTAAATTTAATTTTGTTCACTGTAGACAATGTCCTTATCTTCCAGCAAGATCCTTCTGTTCCTCAGCAAGGCACACACTTCTGCAACACTTGCACACTGTCGAGACTCAGCTCCTGTGGAAATAATGAGCTGAGGAAAAGGAGTCTTGACTTGACATAGCAATAAATGAGGTGAAACTTTCCTCTTTTTTTTTTTTTTTTGGTGAGAAACGAGAGTTGGCATGTAGGAAAAAAAAAAAAAGAAGAAAAAAAGACGGTTCTATTTTAATATGAAATATAAAACACCCATTGTACAAAAGTGGAATTTCTTTTTTTTTTTTTTTTTTTGGTGAGAAACGAGAGTTGGCATGTAGGAAAAAAAAAAAAGAAGAAAAAAAGACGGTTCTATTTTAATATGAAATATAAAACACCCATTGTACAAAAGTGGAATTTCTTTTTTTTTTTTTTTTTCCAGAAGCAGAGAAAAAATAAAGATAAAGGCTGCAAGCGAATGAATGAGGAGAGAAAACTAAGATAATGCAGTCGATAATCAGTTCAAGGCAGAGCATTATCCATGGGGCCATCGGTCCGGCCCTAGGGGAGAGCTTTTTAAAATGTCTCTGTACGTAGCTTAGCTTTGCTCATTACCATAGCTTGTCTTTGAAACACCAGAGTGGCTTCCACCGGCAGCAGCAGCCGTACCTGTGCGAGGAGCTGCCAGCCCCCTTTAATCAGCCGCCCCCCTCCACACGCCGGCTGGCGAAGCCGCGGGTCCCACCGGCGCCGGGCTACGGCCAGGATGGGCTCTTCAGCACGTCTCCAAAGGATGGAGGCTGTGTGGACGGGGAGCCACAGAGGTCTGCAGGTGCCGTGGGCCCTCACGCCTCTCTGATTTCCCTCAAAATGGGTTTCCGTGTCCCCACACACAGCAGGTACCCACGTGCCAGTGAAGGTCGTGCCTCACGCTGCGTCAGGGGTGATGCTGGGGATCAAAGCAGCTGGACAATGAAAAGCCCTTCTTTTTGTAAGGATCCAGATCTCCTTTTCTCACCATGCTGGCAACAGCCATCAGCATCCCCCCGGCTGTGGCACAGTGCAGGGAGCTCATGCCCATGCCTGCAGAGCCCCCAACCTGTGTCCTCTCCAGGGTGTCCCACTGCCACCGCAGGAGCTGGCTGAGCCCCGTAGGGGCTGGGACCAGGCAGAGCTGGGACCAGTGGTGCTCAGGGGTGGCTGTGCTGGGCGCTGGGTGAGCTCTGCCCATGCCAAGGAAGAACTGAACAGAACCTTTGATCCCCAATACGATGTGAGCTCTGGTCCCACTGACATCCCACACAAGCTCCAGGAGAAAAGGATTGTCCATCCCAGGGAATAAGTTCTTTCATACCTTCTCTCCTTCTAGCACTTTTAATTCCTCTCTTCTTCCACCCTCTTCTCACCCCTCCCTGCAGATGAGGCTGATGACTACGAGTACTACGACGAGTACACGCAACCGGAGCAGGACCCCATCCTCCAGCAGCAGCCCTCAGAGGACCCTGACTGGTTTGAGGCATTTTTTGGCTACAGCGATAGCAGGAAAGGTACCTCTGAGGGGTGGGCAGGGAGGAGAGGAAGGGGTAAAATCCCAACCCTGTGCTTGCAGCCGGCTGCCAGCCTGCTCTCGAAATGCCTGCATCAAAGGGATGAGTTAGGAGGATTGTTTGCAGTGTTCTCCTTTGTATTTCTCTTGTAAGGAGCCTGTGTTTTATCTCTGGGTTTCACAGGATGGATTCTGATCATGCAGAACATTTCTGATTGCTACTACAAAAAAACACAGACTTATTTGTCTATAGACACTGTAAGATGTAATTGCTGTTTTCATGGGATATATGTTCTGTATTTATGCTGGGAACCAAATGTAGAGCAGGTTTCCTTTTTTTTCTTCTTTTTTTTTTCTCAGTTGCAGGGGTTTTTTTTCCTTTTCTTTTCTTTTTCTGTTTTGCCAAACTTCTGGAGAGCAGAAAAGCATCCTTGAGATTGCTCAGGGAACGCAAAAGGAGAGACAGGGAAGTTGCCTGTAACATCCCCTGGTACAAAGAAAGCAGAGCTGGAACGGGGCTGCCCCAACACCAATCGCTCCTGGCAGCCGGGAGAGGAGTGGAGAAGGTGTAGCGTGGTGTGAGGAGCAGCACTCAGGGGATTACCAGCAGGTGCCTGCTCCCTTGAAACAACAGCCACCTGGGGGTATTATATAGTATAATGGTGGTGGGTGGCTTTTCCAGGGGAGATTACTGGGAGATTTCCTGGGTATGTTTAGTTTGGAGAAGAGGAAGCTGAGGGAAGACCTCATTGCCCTCCATAACTATCTGAAAAGAGAGTGTAGAGAGGTGGGTGTTGGCCTCTTCTTCCAAGGGAATAATGACAGGACCAGAGGAAATGGTCTAAAGTTATGGCAGGGGAGGTTTAGACTAGATATTAGGAAGAATTACTTTACTGAGAGAGTGGTCAGGCACTGGAACAGCCTGCCCAGGGAGGGGGTGGGGTCGTCATCCCTGGAGGGATTTAAGAAATGTGTAGACATGGCTCTTCAGGGCATGCTCTAGTGTCTGGGATTGTTGGGTTGTGTCTGGGATTGTTGGGTTGTGTCTGGGTGGGTGGGTGTGGTGTTTGGGGTTTTGTTTGTTTGTTTGTTTATTTGTTTTGTGGTTGGACTCGATAATCTCAAAGGTCCCTTCCAACCATGAAGATTCTGTGATTCAGTGCCACTTTCCAGCCAGGGCCACACCAAACCCAGACCCCTCCACAATAAATGCATGAAGGCAGATGCCCAGGGCCAGCTCTGGCTCTTGAGGCTGCTTTTGCCACTGCCACAGGGTGGCAAATCTGTCCCTGAGCAAAGGAAGGGACTTGCCCCATTACAGCTCCATGGAGACACAGCAAAGGGAGCTGAGGATCTCCAGACCCAAAGCTGTGAGCTGTTACAGCTGGCACCAGGCTCTGCAGCAACCCTGTGGCTGCTGGGCTGATGTGTAAATGTGGTACCTGTTACAGGGGATGCTGTGGCCGGGGAGGCAGCCTCCTGCAGTCAGCAAACGCAAGAAGAAAAAGCAGGTGATGGAGGTGGAGAAGCTGAAAGTAAAACTAAAAGATCTCTGTCCTTGCCCCAGCAGACTCGTGCTCCTCCAACCCCTGCAAGAACAATGGAAGGTGCGAAAACAAAGGAAACGGCTTCAGCTGTCTCTGCCCCGAGCCCTACGCCGGGACTGCCTGCGAGGAAGGTAATGGCTCTGTTCCTAAATCACACTCCTTATTTTGGCAACTCATGTCACTGTTACAGCTCTGCCAGTGGAAGAAAACACAGGGCTTTATAAGGCCAGGGTTTGCTGGGGTGAGGGTTTTGACAGCCCACCACAGTCATGTTCGCAGGTCTCACACTCAGCTCTTGTCCAGGCCAAAGTCTGTCTGAAGTCTTATCCAGTAAAATAGATTCCAGATGTGCAGAAAGTGCTCCTCTGTCCCCTGCCAGGTGGGCAGTGGTGACCTGCTCATTGGTCCTGCAGTTTTTTTGCTGCGGGTACTATGAAGAAGAAGGGAAATCCCACACCCACACCAGCCAGATAAAAGCTTCCTCAGGGTGTTGGGAGAAAGCATGTCTTCCCGTGATCCCTGCAGGGACACAGCTCTCGTGCACACACAGACACTGACAAAGCACCTCATGTCCCCACCTAAACATGAGAACGAACTTCTTTGCTGTGAGGGTGGCAGAGCCCTGGCAGAGGCTGCCCAGAGAGGTGGTGGAGTCTCCTTCTCTGGAGACATCTAAAACCCGCCTGGACGAGTTCCTGTGCAACCTGCTCTGGGTGGACCTGCTTTGGCAGGGGGTTGGACTAGATGATCTCCAGAGGTCCCTTCCAACCCCATAGCATTCTGTGATTCTGTCTCTGTTTTCCACAGTGAAGGACATGTGTCTGGAGAAGAGGTGCAACAGGGGAGACTGCCTGATTACATTAACCCCACCATATTTCCAGTGCAGCTGCAATCACCCCTACAAACTACCTGACTGCCATAGAGGTGAGCGTGGCCCCAGCAGAAAAGGCTCCTGCTTAGCTGGGTGGTGGGAATGGCACAGTGAAGTCACCTCACCACAGACTGCCAGCAGTGGGAGACTACATGCAGCCCACCGCAGAGGGTGGTCCTGCCCTGGTCATCCAGCCTGAGCCTCCTATGGCTCCCACCTGTGGGGCTGGTCAGTGATGAGCCATGCTTGATTTTCAGGGTTGTGGTTCACTCACTGGTGAGATCTCCAGTGTTCCTCAAGAGTTCATAAAAACTTGAAGCCAACAGGCTAAGTGGGAGCTCCCCCCAGCTTCCACAGGACATGTATAGTGCTCAGCAGTGTGACAAGGCTGTTCTGTGTTTTCCACCCTGGCAGCATCTTCACCCTGCAGACCAAACCCGTGCAAAAATGGAGGCACCTGCATACGGCACAGAATCAGATCAAAATTCACCTGCGAGTGCCCCAAACCTTTCAGAGGGAGATTCTGTGAGATTGGTAGGTCACAGCTCCAGGGGTGAGGGTAGGGGCGAAGCCTCTAGACAGTTCCTATGGAGAAGGAACGTTAGGCTTTCCTTAGACATCTGAAAGCTGATGGGGTGAAGATTTATGTCCAGCTGCCTGTGACTCCTCAGGCTTTGGAGGCCAGACACTGGCACATGGATGGGTGGCAAAGGGCATGGGAATACCCCAGGCTGCATGGAGACCCTTCTGCCTCTGCAGCACCACCTTGGTAACCGCATCCCACACAGGTTTCCAAGGAGAAGGATTTGTTCCTTTCTCTTTTAAGAGTTGATTGCACTTCAAACTCCATCTACCACTAACTACATGCTCCACATTGCATGTGACTTTTCCTCCATCTCACCTACAGGTTAGGTTCACAACCCCACAACCTTCCTTTTGGCACATGATAGCATGATAGCAGCTCTGCGCCCACTTGTGTCTAATCCTGCCAATATCATTTCTTGCCCAGGCCACTGATAGGAGAGGTTCTGCTTTGGTATTAAGACACCTCTTGGCTGCTAAGTCTTTACCATGCAAGTCAATCAAGCTTTAAGCTGCACATGCGTTGAGACATTACTCTTATTTCTGGCCTATGCAGGATAAGGGATATCATTATACGACCCACTAGGTCCTTCCGATCATAAAATGAACGTAGGGCAAGGAAGGGAAGGAAAAGGAACAACTTTGGACAAGGAACAACACAAAAGTCATTTTCATATCAGCATTGTCTTCCTACAGGACCAGACGATTGTTATGAGGAGGACTCCTCTACGTACAGAGGAAGAGTGAACCAGGCAGTGAATGGCAAGACCTGTCTGCACTGGAATTCCCACGTTCTCTTGAACCACCCCATTAATGCCTTTATGGAGGACGCTGACTCTTATGGCATCGGTGAACATAACTTCTGCAGGTAATATTTTGAAGAGGCAGCTGTAGAAGTTTCTATCAAAGAGAGCACTGAGGACAAACTGCTCATGAAATTGACAAACCGATGGTGTTAAGATCTCACACCTTTCTTGACACAGCCTGGCTAAAAAATACCAGGGTGTTCGAGGTGCATTCCCTAAGTCACTGTACTGATGTGAGGCTTCCAGAAGCAGCCCTCCTTTCCCTAAATCAGTTCCTCATTTTTCTTAGGGTTAAGATAGGTGTGGGGACAGTGAAATGGCAGAAGCCCCACTCCCCCATCTCAGCCATGTTCTTTGTCAAATCTTATGAAAGAGTGTCTTTGGAAGTTTGGCTCATATGGGAGCATGAAACTCCTCCCTTCAGCACCCTCAGCTCCTTCGCTGGTTTCATGGAGATTTTCCCATTCCTGTTGGCTGATGCTCTCAACCATTCCCTTCAGGAATCCTGATGAGGATGAAAAGCCCTGGTGCTACATCAGAAAAAATCACAAAGTGGAATGGGACTTCTGTGACGTTTCACCCTGCTCAGGAACAGGTAAAGAATTAGAAGTGAGCATTTGGCAGCGTGTGGGAGGTCCAGAGCAGCAGGTGATCCCCTGTTACTTAACTTCTCCAATCTGATTTTGTCTCTGCATTATATATCTGCTGTCCCTTTCAATGCAGCTGGAGAGAGCCCATGGCCAACAGACAGTGCAACGCACCCACCTGGATCAGATGACATGTTCCAAACATGTGGACAACCCGAAATTCAAACACTCAAGAGAATCTATGGTGGAGCTAAGACTACAGCTGGCAAACATCCCTGGATGGCATCTCTGCAGATAAAGACTTCAAGAAGGAGCAGGCATTTCTGTGGAGGAGTGCTAATTAAAGCATGCTGGGTTCTTACTGCTGCACACTGCATTGAGTAGGTGCATGTCCTCTGCCTCGGGTAGATAAACCAGGATATAAAAAGCAAGATGGTTGTTAAAGATAGCTCAGAATCCAAATTATTTGCAATCCAAATGATCGCTGGGAATCAAATTGACAGGAAACGTGTATGTGAAAAAATGAACACATACATGAAAATATATATACTTAAAATTGGAGTAACAAATTAAACTTAACCCCACTCGCCTAAAATGAGTTAAAATAGTTGTTTGAGAGGAAAAGAGGAGGAATGTAACAGAGTTTTGCAATGTATGAAAGAAGGACTCGATGAAAACCTCAGGGGATATTGGGATACCATAAGCAACATCACATATTGCATCAAAATTAAGATCTCCAGAACAGCCAAAATATTCTTTTCACTTTCAATTGTTTATATGCCTGATAGCTCAGAATACGACATTTCCTTCAATATTTTTGTTGAACAGGTTGGAAACCACTACCCTTGGAAGTCAATAAATTGCACACTGGAGATGATTCCAGCACAGATGAATTTAAGTACACCCAGACAAGGGCAAGCAACTGGACTCCCATGACTCATTGTCCCAGCCACAGTAACAGACTGTGTTCACACTGCTACTCTGCCCCAAAATGAAAAGAAAAGAGTATTCATGCAGCTTTAAATAATTTTATTCCATGACTGCAACAAGTTAAGAGCACATGGATTGCCCAACACCACCAATTCCCTGACTAAGCCCTCCCTTAACAATTTTAGGGAATCTTCTGGCCATGTTCTACAAGTGGAAGCAGCATCTTGACTTCCAGATACTAAAGATGCAGGTTTTCACCACTGCTAATAGATGATGTTTGCATGTAATTTTCTTTTTTTCTTTTTTTGCAGACAACCAGCAGAAAATCTCCAAGTAGCCCTTGGAAAGCAAGACCTCAAGAAGAGAGAGCATCAAGAGCAAATATTTGATGTGGAGAAGATCATCGTCCACTACAGATATAAAGAGAAGGGCGGTGTCCCACACAATGACATTGGTAAATCCCTTTTATTGAATGTTCATGCAGCTCACCTCCAACCCCAGCTGTTTGAAACTCCTCTCTCCAACTAAAACCAGTTTGAAATTGCCATTTGGACTGTATCCTGGAAATAATTAGGCCAAATTGTGGTTTTGCCCCATTTGAGTCTTTGGGATGGGAATTGTGGTGGGTGGGCAGAAGCCCCTGTGTGGGGGGAGTGAAACCATAGGGACAGATCCAGCAGGTAGTGCAAAGAGCATGGCAGGTGTATGCACCTTTGCAGAGGGTGGGATCACAGACTGGGCATGATGGTTAGGGATCAAAATCAGCTGCAAACACCGTCTGTTCTTGTTTATCTTCTCTCCAGCACTGCTGAAGCTGAAGCCAGTTGATGGTCACTGTGCCATGGAAACAAAGTATGTGAAAACAGCGTGTCTGCCTGACTCCTTCTTTCCCATTGGGACTGACTGCTTCATCTCGGGATGGGGCACGACCGAAACAGGTATTTAGGGGCCAGCTGGGTTTTGGTGGGTACTCCTGTGGCAAGGTGGGCTGGTACTTTCAGTAGCTGGTACTTTCAGGACCCAAACGTGGACCTAGGCACTTAGCGAAACCAAGACATGGAATTCAAAGCTAAGGATGGCTAAACCCTGCCATGGAAATTACTCATTAGCAGAGATCTCCAGCTGCTAGACCAACCAAACCTTTCAGAGTTCTGAAAAAATCCCCGACGCATTTTTTTTGCTTGCCATCTGACACACCATGTCATGGTTTCGTCTGAAGCCAGAAACAGAAGCAAGACAGTATCAAGAGAGAGGCTATTGTGTAGTTTGTGTGTTTCAAGACAGGACCAAGAAAGATGGGAACTTTCACACGGTTTTCCAGCCCATTGGGTCAGATAAAGCTTTTAAGAAGCAGCATCTGGATCTTCAGATGCGCTGAAAAATAAAAAAAAAATCCAAAGCTTTTCAAGTTCAACCAGCTCCATCCAAAACCTTTCTTGCCCGCGGTAAATCCTAAGGGGAGAAATTACTATGCTTAAAAAAAAGATAATGGCAATTTTCTGAAAAATGCATTGTCTCATGTTCTGATTGATGTGTTGCTGTAAAGCAGCAGAAGGAAAATGTGTCACGGAGGCTGCAGTAGGTGTCCTAGTGCTTTGTGACTGATACAGCCTGATACGATACATAGGACCAAATTCTCCCTTCTGATGTAACTCTCATTGAAGTCCACAAGAGACAAGCGTGTTCATTTGATCAGAATGCACCAACAGAATTTAATGGACATTTTTTAAAAGTTCCAAATAAAAAGTCTCTCTTAAAAAGGGTACGGGGAAATTTTTTTTTCCCCAACAAAGAATATCAAGTACCCTGTACGTGTTCAAACTAGATGGCTCCTTCTTTGAGCAGAGCTATTATTAGCATTTCAGGAAATCACTGCAGAAATGGAATATTTCCTGAAACTCAAGCAGAACCAAACTTATAAACCACCTTTAATTATCTACAGATGTAGTGCTTTGAAATTCTGGCTATTGCCTTTAGATGTCAAGTTATGTCTTTAGATTCACTATAATTAATCATTGCCCTTAAATATTGCATGATTTTCAGTTTTCATCTGTTTCATTAGCCCGTGTGTTAAAACATCTAATGGCACCAGCCCGAGAAGTGCTGAGCGGCTCCGAGTCCCACGGGGACCCACCGGAGCTGCAGAAACCAGCACCTTTGAAAAGCAGGATGACACGGGTAGAGCTGATGGGAACCAAACTCTTGGCTTTATTTTCATTCGGGCAACAACTCGGTGTCCTGAGTGAAGCCCTCTAACCCTTATCATTTCAGACAGATACTTCTTTTCTTCCCAGGCTAGCCCATGCATCCCCCCTGCTCTTCCCCCCTCCCATCCAAATGGCCAGCGGGCTCCTATTTTGAACAAAGGCAACCCGTAACGGGATTGGGAGGAAGGTGACTCCATTTTTTTGGTGCCCATCCCGTAGATGATCTGTCCCGTCAGCTGTTGGACGCCAACGTCAAGCTGATCTCGCAAACGAAGTGCAATGCAGCCAGGGCATATGATGGCCAACTGGATGAAAGCATGTTTTGTGCAGGAAATCTTCGGAAACACGGAGTTGATTCTTGTCAGGTCTGTTGCTTTTTCTGTATTTGAACACTAATTTTTTTGTGTAAATGGGTAATAGTTTGGCAGGGTGCTGCACAGGTAGCTGTTTCTCCCATCAGTGTGGTTCAACAGCCATCGTCTTTCTTCTGTGTGGTTTGAGGTGTGGATCCCTAGAGATAATGTTGTCACCGTCAGCCACGGGCAGATCTGTGGAAGCTAGAGACTAACCTGGGAAGTTTGGGTTCTGAGGCAGTTTTTTGCAATACTTGACAACTTGCCTTTTTTTCCTCTCAATTTCATTATGGCCTCTGCAACGAGCACCAATTCTAATCTGATTTTACTATCAAGAGTTAAGACTTGCAGGGAAAGTCAGGATTGATGTTTCTTTTCCTTACAGCTGGTGCAAATGTGGAGCAAGTTCATATTTACAGCATTGTAAGAGGGGGAAAAGTTTGACCAATGCTTGCCAAGGTGCAGGGGGCTGGAACTAGATGATCTTTAAGGTCCCTTCCAACCCGAACCATTCTCTGATTCTATGATTTTGGTTAACATTTTGTTTCTGGTTTTGAACATGTGTGATTTTTCTCACCAGGGAGACTCTGGAGGCCCACTAACTTGTGTGGAAAACGGTTCTTACTACGTCTACGGCCTCGTGAGCTGGGGTGAAGAGTGCGGGTTAAAAAACAAGCCAGGAGTTTATACTCAGGTGACAGCATTTCTCAGCTGGATTAAATCCAAAATTCGATCTGAGTGAAGGTCCCTTCATTAGGAGACAGCTTTGGAATGACAAATGGTAAGCTTGAGATATTTATTTACATTTATCATTTCTCCAAATGCCTCTTTTTTGAGAAAAACATTATTGATACTTCCTCATGGCCTACATGGGACATCCCTCATCACCATCTTGAAAATAGAGTTAGAGCATTTGCTAGGATGTCAATGACAGTCTTCCTGTTGGGGACTTTGAAATAAGCCTACATTTTGCAGGCAGAACAGATCAGAAAGAAAAGCAGCTCCAGTTCTTCCCCAAATCAATCAGAGCTGCAGTTGCCAATGTTTTGAATTCAGCTTTTCAAGCCCTGAAAATTCTGCAGGCTCAGCTGCTGCCACCCTTTCCCTCTTCCACACTCATCAGACCCTGACACCTCAAAGCTCTTGGTGTGTGCTCCTAAAGCCTGTGCCGTTTTTCACATATGAAAAATCATCACGTGCCAATGTTTGCAAGACTGCAGCCATTGGAATTACCTGAGGAGCCAGGATCAGGCAGGAGAATTCTTTTTAAAACCACAAATTCCATCAGTGATGCATTCCAGATTGGAAAAGCAAGAAGAATAATTCACTATTAGAATTATCCACTTTATTCCTGATTAGAAGATAATTACATATTATGCTCCAGATCTACAATGGTATATTTGGGCTTAACTTCAATTCATACCAGTGAGACACAGAGAGTACTAAACACCATTAAAAAATGTGTCTAAAGCTACTGGATAATTCTTGGGTTTTCACAAGTTTTGCAAGTCGAATTGCATAATTTTTTTGCCCGATGATTCTGCAACCCTGCACAGAAAACCAGGGGATTGGTATTAAATGAAGATATAAAGAACAGACATGTTTGCAAAGAGTCAATTTGTTAAAACAGTGATGTCCATTTCATCTGAATTACAGAGTTTACAACCTTCTCTAAACAGGTACCCAATCTATCTATAGCTACCCCTATTGCCATAATTTCTAACCAATTAATTCTGATTTTTTGCTTTGGAAGATTTGAAAAAGACTGAAGAACTAATTGTGATCTGAATACATCCTGTTAATCAAGAGCAAATTCTCTGATGTCTATTAAAAGGCGTGCCCTTGGTTAGTCAATGATAACTTGGCTTCCACTGGCCTTTGTCTTGTTTATCTGTTAAGCCACCTGAATTATGCTTTTGTGTTCTCTTAGGTCAATGGTGCCAATAATCCAGGAACATAAAAATCTACAAAGATTACAAGTATGGTTGATTTATTCATTACAAATTATTTTAAATTCTGCCAGTCAGTTTCATTCATCTGTAGTACAAAGCTGAGCCTGCCAGTCACCTAGTACTAATTTCATTTACAGCTTTAAATAAATATCACATCCTGTAATACATACAGTGATAAAATATCCACACAAAAATAGAAAGATGTTATAAATTGCAATGTTTAGGTTGCTTTTTAAAACAAAAAGTTCTTAGACGCCATCTATTGTGCTTCCCAGAAAACTCGAAAAGCTACAGGATTTGCAGGACAAATGAAAATCTATTTGTGTTACGTCACTTTCCTGTTCACTTCTGATACAGCTGCATTTTCCTTCTCTTGACTTGCAGAATTTCTGAAGCATCAGGGTTGACTGTGTCCTGCTGAGATCCTTCCATCTCCAATTGGTCCTGTAAAATCAAAACCAACTGTATTGTGAGCACAGCCAGTGGACAGAGAAAGTTTTAACAATTATTCTATAAAAATATTTGCATATTAAAAATTACCTCAACTGGCAAACAAATGAGCAAAATCTGAATCACTGCCCTGCACTGAGCTAATATCTACAACGGAAAAGCGGAGCCATTCATCTGTTAGATACTACACACATTGAAGGACTGAATTTGCTCAACTCCTAATTTCTAGTTTGAGGACTAAATAAAGAGCAAACCAGTAAACACCTGAGTTCCAGGTGGATTGCACACCTGTAGATTTCCCTGGGACCATCAGATCATTATCATATGTAGGACTTAAGAAGATATTGCCTGCAGTCCCCACTGCCTGCATTCCTCAATCACAGTCATAATTTATTTCCTGAATAACTTTTCAGATGGGAACATAAATCATGGGTATGTTCTGTTTTTCTTGGGCTGGCTTATTGTTTGACTTGTTGCCAAAGTTAAACATTAAATGAAACAAGTACTTGAAGTGCAGAACCTCTCTCTTATTGCAACTTAATGCTTCCTAACTGTAGGGTCTGCAAAGTCCCTGTATGGACTTTTGCTCTCTTGTGCTGGGACACTGCAGACTGGGAGTCATCCCCGTGGAGGTCGGGAGAAGGAAAACATGGAAGATCCCATCTCTTGCACCTTGGGCTGGACAGAGATGGAGGAGGTTAGAGCATTGCCCCTTTGCAAAAAGCTTCCTAGGGCACACACTGCTCTGTTAGGAGCCTACACTGAGCCTGTCAACACGGTTGCCAGTGGAGATCACACAGCAACACAGATGTCTCTTGCTGAAATTAGGAAAAGAGAAGGGGAGTTGTACAGGGAGTCCCTTCCTCATCTACTTCTGCCTTCCATGGAGGTACCAGGACACTAGGAGATCTGACAACATCCATCAGTTAAGGGAAACACATCCCATAGTATGTTAGGAAGTACCCCATGGTACTTCCTAATCTCTACAGGAATTCTTCAGCTGCTGAATTCTCTTGAAAGGTTCCTTCAAATGAAGATGTACACAAAGCCACAAAGCATCGTGAGGGAAGTATATATATTCTGTTCAAATAAGAGGGGGGAGGTGTAGACTCCAGGGAGCATGCAAAAGCATCAAACAGGATGTGTGCCCATCTGCCTTCTAGAGAGCAGAGATGTTGGGATTTGTGAGAAGAATGGTTTACTCTACTCACAGCTCCAGGTCCGTACTGAGCAGGAGCGCGCTGCAGTCCCATTTCCCGAAGGAACGCCAGCTCAGCAGCTCTCCTTGCCATTTCGACTTTGTGAGAACCTGGGGGAGTCCAGCCAATGCCTCTGAGCCAGTTCAAGTCAGACTTGTATTTTACCTGAGCAAATGAAACACACACCAGTGCACGTTATTTTGTTTGGCTCTAATCAAACCATACACCCTGGGTATTCAAGAGAGAGCATATCAAGAGCAACAGAGTCCATCATGAACAAACTATTCCATTTCACCAAACAGATTAGTTCTTGCCAGAATGTGATTTTGTTGATAGGTAAGGTCTGAGAAGCACATTTCCACAAACAGCTCCTTGGAAGGACCGTGCTGCTCAGCTGTACTCACATCACTCTGCAGCTTGTAGGCCTGCTTTGCATGTTTCACGTTCAGCTGCTCAGGATCACAAGTGTATTGGTGCAAAGGCTGCCTGTAGTTAACGTTGCTTGCAAGCTCCTGGCTTCTCTTGGCGTGGAGGAATCCCGGCTGGTTGAGGTGGCTCTGGAACTGTGCCATGTTTTGGGCATATCCACTCCTGTATTGGTTGTCACTCTGGAGTTTCCCCACTCTGAGGACATGCCTGATTTTGGGATCGTCATTTGCACTGAGGAATCCAATCCGCTGGCCTCTGTCTCTCAGGAAAGCTTCTCTGTACTTGTACTGCAGGAAGCACAGAGGAAAATCTCATTTTCCCATTCAGATGATCTCCAAATTCTGTTATGAAATAACTTACCCTCCCCTAGCTATCAATAATGCTTCCTGTAGTGCACAAAGACCAAGGGTTTGTTTGATAGTAAATTACATCTCCTGACTTTACAAGACACTTTAGAAGAATACCCTTTGTGCTAATTTTTAAAGGAGTAGAAAGATTTAGGGAGCCCAAAATACTCATGTCTCAAAAGCAATCTTATTGTTGCACCCTTGTATGCACCCAAAACACAGCTCAGGCAATGAAGCATCTCCATCTTCAGCTTTCTTGCCAACTGTGGTCTTCTGTGCTCAAAGGTGACCCACTTTATTCTAGACTATGCTTTAACTATTCATAGCCCAGTAGCTATTTTATTAAACTACATCATAATATGCTTCCTTCTCAAGAATAACTCTTTAAAGTGAAACAGAGCAGCCTGGTATTGGACATTAATCTTTCCACTTAACTGGCATTTGGTTTCACTGGGTCACCAATTTTCCAAACCAGAACAAGGTTCACTTATGTCAGAAATCACCCGCTTTTACAGGGAGGGGGTGACATGGGAAGAGGATTGGGAAGTTTTTGAAACAGAATAATTCTTACATCACTAGCAATCTCTCTTGAAGCCTTTGCTGTCTGGAATGGGATGGCGTCAATCCTAAAATCATAGCCAGATGCCCTTGTCTGTTCCCAAGATGTTTTATAAAATTTCTGTGTTGAAAAGAAAAGAACAAAACAGTCATTTCCCCCTGCAGTTTCTTAAACGCAGTCCCATAACTGCAATAATAAATGTTTTATCCTACTGGGTTTATTTGTATCAAGAGTCATCAGTACTATCTCTAAGGTTTTGATCCAGTTCTACAGCACTTCAACTTCTTTTCTATTCACCATAATGATAAAATGCCTCATCTGAACAGTGCCACCAGGGTTTCCTTTTGTACTTGAATGTGGTTGGTTTTGATGTGATTTAATTTCTATTAGAAACTGTGATGCATCAGTCACATCAATATTGCATTGATATAGCCCTTATTCTCTCTTTTGATGCATCCAGTTGCAGTGTCTTGGGTTTCGTGGCATCATAATTTCAATACCAGTTATTTCGAGCTTTTGAAATGATCCCTGTCTCTATCCCCAGCCACATGTGGCTTCATTAACTCATATGGAATAACAGCCGGTTCTAACATATTTAATGTGACTTTGAGGATGTGAAATACATTTACATCCTGAAAAGAAATTGCTCTAGATTTGGTTCTTCTTCCATTAGTAGCTTTCTTAAAATAGCTACCAGTCTGCAGGTCCTGCTGCACAGCCATGGTACCTTAGCTGACACTTTTGGCTGTCCCTTTCTGATGATATTCATTTGCTTTCTCTAAGATTTTGATTCATCCTTTCTGGGGTTTGTGACCATATGAAAACAAGCACAAAAACCATGTCACATTTCCAAAGATAATCTCCCATTTCACTAGTGAATTTAGTGCTAGGTGGTGCTGAGTTTGAAGGTAAACTGAGAAATCCTGCAAGACAACCTGCAAGCACTACCATAACCCTGCTAACAGGGCTGGGTCTGATCTTCCAGTTGTGTGAAATCACCCCCTCTGCCTCTTCACCTTTTCCTCTATCACTTCAAAGAATATAAATCCTATTTATTTCTTTCACCTACACAGTACCTATCACCAAACAAAGAACTCAAAGCTTCTTATAAACTAAGGTCACACTGACCCTTAACTGTAGTTAAGGACAAAAGCTATTTAATCAGGGAACAGTAAATTAGGCACAGACTGAGTGCTTCTGTCTGAGATAATGTGGAAACAAAATCTCTTTAAACCAATTCCACTCACTGCTCCAGGCACAGTTGTCATCAACCTGGATGCAACTAAGGGATCTGTTCAACAGTGTTGCAGCTTCAGGAAGATCAATTATATAGGCAGGGAAAGAGGACTCTCCCTCTTCCCCTACCCAAGTGTAGATCTAAATTTGTAGTTAACCATATCTAGACTGAAGGACTGAAATCCTTCCTGCCCTAAAATGCTGAACCAATTCTCACAAGAAAAATCAACAGACTTTTCCTGATGCCTCCAGCCCAAACCTAGCAACATGTTGGCTTTTCCACAACCTCTGCCTGTTTCAGGTTTGGTCAGGCTCAGAGAACCTGGCTTCAACATCATATACATGAAAGCTTTTCATTCCAAAGCAAGTTTGTTTTCCCTGATGGCAGTTACCAAGTCAACTCCCCAAAGTGAAAGGTTTACTTACATCACTGATGTGAAGTGCATTCTGGCGGGCTCGGATGAAATCTGGATGATCAGGAGGCAGGGTGTACCTGTGCCTGGCTTCGGGGTCTCCAGCCTTGTACAGTCTCTGTGGAGTCAGAAGTCATTGAATGCAACTGATACTGGAAGCAATGTTGGGATCGTTTCTTGTATGAATTACAGTACAATAAAAGTTAAGATCCCTTATAGTAAATGGAAACCTACGTCACTGCACTGGAGGTAGCTGGTTTTAGCGTGAATCAAATCCGGAGAGTCAACCACTGCAGTGAACTTCAAACTTTCGGGCTTCTGGCGGTACTTTACCTGAGGGGAGGAGGTAGTGAAAACAAACAAAGGGAAAAAAAACAACACAGGATGTTTTTGTTAATGATATATCACAGTTCCAAGCGTGTGATAACCAAAGTAAAACATAAAAGCCACCTTCCTGAAGCCACAGTATTAAAAACATTATTGTTCTGTTTTAGTCTCAGTTGCTCTTTCAGCTGGGGAACAGGGATGCTGCTGTATCATTCGGTGGTGCCCAGGCACCAAACTTCATTTTTTCTGTGTGTGTGAGAAGGACTTCCCACTGAAAATTCCCATGCAAAACGCTTTCAAACACTACATTTCTGACAGCTCATAATTTTGCTCCATTAATGCATGATACTGAGCAGGCAAATGCCCCTTCAGTGTGGTTGTCAATGCTGTATCCTTCTATATCACTTCCATAACCACCTGCTTAGAATTTCATAATGGGGTTTACTGCATTTATTTATTGCTACATGTTTTGTTTATACTCTTGTGTTTCATTCGGAATGGAAAATATTCAGCAGGTGTCACACAGTGGACTTGCATCTCCCGTACTGCTTCCTGGTAACTTACACCTTGTATAAACAGGCTCCCACATCAAAAGGAAATGATAAGCTACATTCGTAAGTGTCATGTAACAAGGAGCCTTGATGGTAAACAATTCCTACAGACGTGCTATCCCATGAAAGATTTATCAGTTACCTCACTGATGAGCTCTCCAGCCTTCTTTACACTTTCTATCTGCGGAGATCTCAGAGCCATCCAACCAACTCCTTTCATGAAGTTCAGGTCTGATTTATAGCGATGCTGTTAAAAATGAAAATCGTTAGCTATCAGGTTTGTATCCACAGCTATTAAGGTTTTTTAAAAAGACTCCCTGATTCATATTAACATTTTGAGGTTTTTCATTTGCCATGCACATATCACATCGTAAAGCCAAACTGTTTGCATTTGTTCATTCCACTAGGAATTAAATAATGTATCATATGCAAGTTACAAGAGAAGGCCCCACGAG